CAAAATGAAGTTAAATTTCTGTTTACTGTCATACATGCACTGTATGTGACTCTAAGTTGACCTCTACAGTGCCTGTTTGCACCAGACCTTAACAAGTCCATACGCATTGGAAATTAGCTTTCAAAATCCATTTCCATTTAGAGTGCAAATTGTTTGGTGCCTGTTTTCCAGGGGGGTTCAGCTGCACAGGAATGCACCCCTAATGCAGAGTACTGTACAGTATATCTGTCTTAATGCCTCTCTAACCTGCAAGACAGATATTGAGATAGCCGCTGTCAGTCCTGGAGATCCACTATCCCAGATATTTTATATTTTAAAGCCTTAAATAGCCTGGAAGACCTGGAAATAATTAAAACCTATTAAGTAAACATGGACTCAATATAATCATTATTAATAGGTTGAATGTAAATGACAACACTCAGGACCAGAATCATGTATAACTCTTCTAGGTCAGGTAGCATGAATATATCGATCCGGAAGTGACATTTTCAGTGTATTAATGTATTTTTAAACTAATGTGTCAAAGTGTAAATATTCCACACACTGCTGTCTGCTTTACTTTACTACATATCCAAGTAAGGCATCTACTGTAGACCAGTGGAAGCACTTTAAAAGGCTTTTGCTTCAGTGCAATAGTGGCACCTTTCTTAAACTCCAAATGACATATAGATAATTATATCAAGTAGTATATTACTTAAGAAACATTTTTTTCTTTTTTTTTTTCTGGATGTAAATTGTCTCCCCCACATTTAAAAATTAAGGAGCAAATTTTACTCTGGAGGAAAAAACCTTGGAAATCACCCTCTTAATGAGCTGAATGAGGTCAAAGACTTCATTAATGAAACATATTTGCTGTTTTTACACTTGCAGTCATGATCTGAGTCAGCATTACATTGAGGCATACAAGAGGGTGCGAAACTTCAATAGCTGTATTATGAGATGGAAAAGCAGCAATACCAGTTAGAAAACAGCATTTTGAGCCCCTCTGGGCCTTTGCGGCAGAAACAAAATGTGTTTTTCACTGCATTTCTAACAGGACAAAAAATAGGCTATGTCAACAAAAAAAATTCCATATAGAGTCTAGATGAATATTATTTAAAAAAAAAAACAATATTAACAGTTCTCCTTGTATCAAATCATGCAAAAGCCTTGCACCACAAATGGGAATTGCAAGCCAATTGAACTAACAGAACGTCTAGAAAGTACAGGTATTCATTAGATAGGTTATCATTTGTAATAAACAGCACCTAAACGCTATATAATTACACATGTGCAACATCTGCGTAGAGGTCAGCTTGGGGATGGAAACATAGGTTAAAGTCAGCTTCATTAATCAGTAAGTCGCAATACTCTGCATTCACAAATATAATTTTGGGTTCTTGTTTAATCCTTTGTCGGTACCTTTAACTTGAGAGTTAAATGAACATGCATCAGAATCCATTGGTCCACGTTTTTCTCCTTCCTGTAATGGAGGAAAGCATAATTTGTGGTTCAGGAGGCTACACTGAAATGAATTTGTTTTGAAATTGGCAGTGTGACATTGCAGACATATTTTCATAATGCAATTATACAATATCTTTAGAAAGTATTCACCCACCTACCCCCGAACAATTGCAAATGCGGTTTGGCTATTAACTTTGCATGTGTGGGTCTGAAAATTTCTCCCATTCTTCCTTGCTGATTTGTTTAAGCTCTGGTTGGATGGGGAGTATTGGTGAACGCAAACTTTCAAGTTCTTCCACAAATTCTAATTAGGATTCAAGTCTAGGATTTGGCTGTGCCACTCAAGGACATTCAACTTCTTCTTTTGAAGCCACTCCTGTGTAACTTTGACATATGTTTGTGGTTGTTGTGCTGTTAGAACAAGAATCTTCACCACAGTCTAAGGTTTTTTGCTAACTGAAGCAGGTTTTCCTTAAGGATATTCCTGTATTTTACATTTACTGTATTGTTCTCTTTATCCTAAGAAGTTCCCTAGTCCCTGCCCCTAAAAATCATGCTTCATGGCAGGGACGGTATTACATGGGCGATGAGCTGTGTGCAATTTGTACCAGGCCTAGTGCTTTGCATTCAGGCCAAAGAGATCAGTTTTTAATGGATCAGACCAGAGAATCTTTTGCCACATTATCTCAGGGTCTGCCATGTTCCTTCTTGCAAGTTTCAGGTGTACTGGTAGCTTCTGTCTTGCCAATCTCCCAGAGAGTCTAAATCTTTGTAGGGCTGCAGAGAGCATTACACTTGGTCAGATTCTCCATTCATAGAACTCTACAGTTCTCTCAGAGTGGTCATGGGGCTTTTGTTTACTTCTCTTGCCAAGGTCTTCTTGGGCAGTTGATAAGTTTGGGTTTTGTACTTTGTTCCATTTCCTAATGATGGACTTAACTTTAAACATGCTAAACATATTTTTAATGGTGTCCCCAGAACCATGCCTTTGTCATAATTCTATTACAGAATTATACGGACAGCATCTTGGTCTTCATGGTAGAGTTTCGGCACTGTCAGCTGAGGGACTTCATTTAGACAGGTGTATTTCTTCTGCAATCAAGTCAACTAATAACTGACCACAGTCAGACTCTATTCGAGTTCTGCAGTGATCTAACAAGGAAATTAGATGCATCTGTGCACAATTTGGAGTGTGATAGCAAAGGGGATGAATACTTACCAAATCAAAACATGATAGTGTTTCCATTTAAATTACATATAAAAAATCATGGATTTTCTTTCCGCCTCTTGACATTATATCATACTTTGTGTGGATCAGAGTAAAAAAAAATCATTTATAAATAGGATTTACAAATCCTTTTTACAAATTGTAAGAATATCCAATGGTTGTGAATACATTTTGAAGGCACTATATAAGGTCATAATACTGTAACGCTTACGACTGACAGGCACTGTGTAAGAGCCGGCGTACCAGACCAGGTGATGTCACCGCCCTTTCCTGTGATAGCAAGACTACAGCTACTGGGCTGTAAAGAGTTCTCTCTTTAGCTCACGGGGCTAGGTCGCTGCAGAGAGACGCGGAACTCCCGGGTTCGAGCCCCGGACGGTGCAGGGGCCGACCAGATGCGGCAAGGGCGCCCGCCTGAGCCCCCGTTGCGTTACATTGGTGTCAGAAG